ATTTTATACTCTTATTCCTATGATATATAGAAAATTAATGTTTAAATTACCTTCTTAACTTTTAATATTTATAAAATTATAGAAAGAATAGAACTTAACTTTTAATAAGAAAAAATAAGATGATAAAAGATTTTAAGAATTTAAGCAAAACTTCGAAAATGTATGATATCTTACATTGTTCAATAAACGAGAATGAAAGCGTCTGTATCGTTAGAATATACATGAAATAGAATCAAAGGATCTCCGTGAATAGAGTGCGAATCTCGTTGACGTCGGATTCGTTCGCGAGACGCTCACCTCGTTGCGTTTTTGCTCTGCATAAATGATGAGCCCGAGTATTTTAATGAAGACATTCCACAGCTGCTTGCCGGCTCCTTGGCGCACGACGACGAGAGAAAGAGGAAGGACAATCCCCTTGACTCAGATAGACACCTCTTACTTCTCATCTCATCGACGTCTCAATGACGCAGTAAATAATAACAAATTATAAAAGCGACTTTTACAAATATTAGCTTCAATCTTTTAAAAATTACAAATATAAATATTCATCAAAAAAGCAAAAAATTAAATAATAAAAACAAATTAAATCAAAGTTAAATAATATTGTGATAAGTTAGTGATAAATCATAAGCATCCTTTCTGATGACTGAGAATTTCATTGGACAATGTTTCATGACTGAGTGATTTATTTATTTTATTAATTGCCAGTATATTATATAAAATATGTACTTTCGTAAAATCCGTTGTAAGATAATTTTGTCGTAATGTATAACGAGCTTAACAGATAGAGTAGTGGCTTCCGGACTTCCGTCCTTGGAAAAGATGTCCTGCCGATTGCAGTTGACCGGCTGCATTCCTCGATTCGAGGATCGCGACACCGTGGAATGCTCGAATCATGCTCCCTAATTCCTCGATGATCCAGGCCGACTATACGAAGATCTATCGCAATCGTCTACGATCTATGCTTGAAGAGATATCCCGCGCGGCAGGTAGCCTCTTGCGCGAGAAGAGGGGAGAGACTTCTGTCAGCGTGGCCGATTATATCTATACGTTTATCTACGCCTATGTCAGCTACGAGAGATAGCCGAATGTCCCTGTTCTATGTACGAGAGAACATGCGGCTCGTTTATGTAATAGGGAATTCCTACCGTGGATAGCGTGCTGGTGGCAGGAGGACGCCAGAGGGACGGGGAAGAGGAAAGAGAGAGATCCTATATTTCCCCGATCATAAATCTACCTCATGGGAGAAGACGCTGATATCATGTGGGGTCCAGGGTGAAGACAAAGGTACATCGAGGCTGATGGTAATTTTGGGTAAAATAGGAATTTAAGTAAATCTAGAGAAGAGAAGCTTCCGATATTTTTTATTTTTTCATTTATGTTCTGGCCATGTTCTCGGGCAAACACTTAGAAATATTAATCGAAAATATTGGAAGAATTTAATACAAACACGTCAAAATAGACACATAAAAATAGAGCAAAGAAGTTATGGAAGCCTATTTCCATAACTAAAATTGATTCGAAGATTGGAGACATGCAGCTTTTTACATTCTATTGTCATTAAAATTGTTTCATTTATATGGATGATAAATTTGGACTTTGACAAATGGTCGACAAATTCAAAGAAAAATTAATATTCATATTCACGGTCGAGCCATTTATTGCACTGGTGCAATATCGATGATTCGACCCCTTTTATATTATCCCAGTGAGTTACAATAAAGAGGGGAGCTCATATGTATTTGGTATTTAATTACCGCAAAGTTTGAGGGGTGATTCGCGCAAGAGTGTTTGATTATTTATCGCATAAATATTTTGGTGCTTTTCATCCACACAAAAGGTTAACCAATTTTATTTTTAACATTTAATATATTATAATATTTATTTTTTTGTAACATTTTCTTTCAGTTATGTATTCTTTGATAAATATACAAAATAAGTTAAATTTTTAAAGATAAGAGAATCGCAATAGACAAAAGCAGTTATTTATTTTAATATTCTAATTTTTTTATTTCAATTTTTAACATTAATTTTTAACGTTATAGAAGAAAGTTCAAATGCGCTAATAAATTTGCATATGCGATTCTATCGCGAGCGAGAAACAGTGAATAAACTATGAATAAACTATCGACCAAACAAAAGCCAGTTTGGTAATTACAACAGCATAGTATATTCTAGAGTCTGCAATAAATCTCGCCTCTATTCTCCTTTCCTCTCTCCTTCCTCGTCCTTCAACCTTTTCGTCTTCTATATATACACGGTGTTTCTGCTATTATCTTTCTTGTTCATACTAAACTCTTTGAAGAATTTGGCGTTCAAATTTATTTGTACTATTGTAAGTTAGGTTAGTTATATTGCAAATAACATTAGTATATAATTTAATTATTTATAATTCTTGCATTGAATTTTTGTTAATAAAAAATCAATTCTAATCATGTGAAGGGAATTGACACCCTGTATATCAATCGTTTTCCTCTTATCCGAGAATCGAAAGGCCTTTCTTAGTTATTGCCGTGTGAGAATTTATTTTAATATATGTTAAATTTAATGGGGCTACCGTTTATTGAAATCAGATCCCGAGCTGAGATTACAAGACAACAACGGTCCGTCGTCATTATGAGGCATTTAATTATTACTAAAACAAAATAAACTTGAATTGACACATTACAAAAGGTATTTCTTCGGTAAATACAAAATTTTTTTACGCCCACGCGCAATAGATTTAGCAAAGCTTAAATGCATTTTGAAATGTGTCTCGGAATTTTATCATCACATAAATCCTGCACGAAAAGTTTATGGAACTATTATTAATGACAAATCAAACAATCCTGTTTAACGACGTAAATTTTATTATTTAATTTTCGAACAATTTTAATTTTATTCTATTAATTTAATAGGTAAAAAATAAAAGAATTGAAAATGATATAAATTTTCATCGATGAAAAATTAAATTATTCTATATCTATTATATCTATTTTTAATTATTTTTCTAAAAATATTAAAGATTATATATTTTAAATTATATATAAATGGATTTTTATATTGTAATTAAGTTTAATATATTATATATAATATATATAATAATTTATATATAATTTTATCATTACAAAAAGAAAGAAAATGAAATTATGCTAGTAATATATGTATATCTAGACAATGAAAACCAGGAAGCTCAGCATTTCGCCGTTCTTCACGTGGGTCTCACGTGGTTTCCTGTCGGTAGTTTTTCCGCGTCTAGCCATGGCATATGCACGATTGCGTAAGAAAACACGGGGATCATACGAAATGGTAGAAGAAACGAAACAGACTGATTTATGTACGCTGCCGGAGCGATGTCCCGACTAAAGTCGACGATGTTAAATCGCCGGACAAAACGCGATCCTTTGCAGAACATTTATCGCGTATATAAGCTGACACAATATAAGCATCACTGCTACATGATACAATAAAAATACTCGAATTATTCTTTGTAAAATACTATGAACTATATTTACTCGAATCTCGAAGATATATTATTTAATATATCGTAAAATGATGCAAAAATTCTAAGTTTTGAGATTTATTGTATCTTCTTGGATTCTTTATAAAAGAAAATTAAGCAAAAAATTGCATGTATTTTTATATCTCAAAAGCCGATTCAATTCTTATAGTTTTGCACAAAACGAGAGATTTATTTTCTTTCTCAAATTAAGATTATGACTAGTGTCTTATAATAAAATCATTTTAAAGATTTTGATTTTATTTAATATCACTGTGAATCAAAATAATAATGCCCGATAAAAACCCGAAATAGAAGCAATAATTTATTAAAGACTATACATACATACATATACACACCATTTATCTTAAAGCAGACGCGAGCTACGAACGGCATATGCTTTACACGTGATAACACGCCCGTCGATCATCTGCGCGTTTCCTCCTCGGCCGAAGTGACGAAGTTAATTGCTCGTTTTCTCATCTCGTTAGCGTTACTTCCGCCTGCGTCGGGAAAACAAATGTCCACGTGTTACGGGTTTAAATTAATACCCTCGAGTTATTAAGCTGCATGTAGAACATCGAGTTTTCTTCAAGATCTTCCAGAAGACAAAATGCCTCTTGGTACCCTCTTTGTTAATCAAAAATAATTTCCTCGAAGAAAATAACAGAGTGTAATAGAGAGAAATTACAGTTTTAATACCGAAGTTTTAATAATGTATTTTATGTTATAATTTGCAATAATTCACTTACCTGCACTTTTCAAAGTGAGATAGAAAGCCGTTAGGACAGAGAACAGATTAAACTTCCTGTTCTTATTACGTGCTCGATTAACTTTCCGTGCCTGGAGCACCACTAAATCCAACGATGTGTAATTAACCAGGGTGAGCGTAACGAACCGCGAAAAACATAAAATCCTATTTCCCATGGCGGAAAATTACTTTTTAAGAATTAGATGATTAAAATCAATGGAAAAAACATAATAAATGTATAAAATAAAAAATAATAAATCTTACTCGTAAAACATATTTCTAGACAAGAATAACAAATGTTACTCTTATTGGTGCGATATTAATTACTAAATAATTGAACAGTAAAATTAAGAATGTAAAAATTTTAAAAACGAAAATAAATTGATTTTTTTGAGAAAAAAATGATATCGACGGTAAGTGAAAAAGAAGCAAATTACGTGATATGTGAATTATTTATTTAACAATTAGGCAGGCAATAACATGAAATGGATACGATGTGCTTAATGTAATACGATAGTGATTATACCGGACAGATACTAAATGGTAGCGAATAAGAAAGACTTGTGAAAGATGAAGGTAAGATGCATGTGGGGTGTAATTAGGGTGTAAAGAATAGTTGACTCGTCGGATAATAACTATTTTAATTCGCTAACTCTCTCGAGAAGATTTCATATCTGCAGCGCCCATTGTTTATAATACATTAATAATAATAATAATAATTAATAATAATTAATAATATATTTATATATATATATATATATATGGCAAGATCATTGGTCAATAAATACTTCACTTAAATCGGCAGCTAAATTTACCAAATAATTATTTGTTAATCCGGTGTAATGTCTCTATTTAAATTCTGAAAGAAGAGTTTTTCTTTTTCTCTCTTATAGTTCTTAAGTTTTTAACTTACTTTTAATAAATTACCAATACCCAATATAATAATTTATCGAATATTCATAGGAAGGCTATTTTCATTTAATCATCGCCTTCTTAATGAATAAAGAAATTCAAAGATAATATCTTGTAGCAAAAATCGAAGACATATCATTATATAATTATTTGGAAAATTTAGATGTGCCTTGACGATCTAGATCGCGCTACGCTATTGTACCAGCTGAAGACAATTCTCGATCGCATTTCCACGGCCAATTTCTCTTTAATGTCAGACAGCAATCACTATAAAGGTAATAGTGCGCGCAAATAATTCGTCTAATACTATCCTCTTTATGCTAGTAGTAGATCCTTAAAAGATGTAGGTAACATTATGTACAACGATGAACAAACGACAACGACGAATGCTCGGTCGTCATTTTTGCTCAACAACGTTCTCATTCCTCTTACGTTTCATTTATGAATTGTGTTATTAAATTTTCTCATTAATCGAAACACAATCGTTCAGTCGTCCTCTGAATGTAAGGAAACTGCATGCCTCCTGCCGATCTGCAACACTTGATCCTAGAACCAGTAGAGGTCCTTGGAATCTTGAACTTGAGACTCGAGTCCTGCAACACGAAACAAAAGAAATGTCGTTAAATATACAATTTTTATTTAACCTATCAATATTTCTGAGATCTGTTCGTATAAATAATTAAAATTAAAATTTTATTTTATACTTACAAAAAAATATAAAACATTTCTCTAAATTTTTCTTCAGATTAAAAAACAGCTGCTAAAAGTTTTGTAAATTGTTCAAGAGCTATATTATTAAATAAAAGATCGATCTCATATAAAGAGGCTTCCGGCATTCCAGTGAGAGATTCCTAAACGCTATACAAGTGATCAGCTGTTTAAAGCTGCTTTCTGATTTGAAAGGCGTCTCTTGTCGTTGCTTGAAATTATTTATCGGCAGTAATAAAAGAAAAGACAACGTTATGACGGATGCGAAGGTGCAGAACTGGTGATGGCACCCGCTGAGCAACACGGACGAACAAACGGATGGACGAACGAACGGCTAGACAGATGGGGCCCGATGTCACGAGACTGGTCAGTTAAGATCTCATGTCTCTTGCGACCGAATTTATCTCTTATCTCGATATACCGAAGACTGAAATGACAGATCATCGTCGCCGATACAGCATCCTTATATAGTATCCTTATATCCGGATAAAAGATACTATATAATTGTTGAAATTTCATGCTATGAATGTGGAACACTTTGCAAGATATTGTTTTTATTTTCATTTAGAACAACCTCATAAAAATTTTTCATAATTATTTTCAAAAAAGGAAAAAACCAAATTAATTTTTTTAGACAATATCTTTTTTAAGAATAAATTTAATATAAAAAGTCATTCTTAAAATATATAAATTATATATTGAATTAAATCATCGCAAAGATCAAAAGTATTAAAACTGCAGATATCTTTTCAATTTCTTTTTTAATATTTCTTGATCGGATCACAAGCGAATTTCGCCATCGATTATCGCGCAACATATCGACGTTTCGACATCGTGAATTGCTAGCACGTGATACGGGAGATTGAGTTTGTATCCATCGATACGCACGTGTCGGCACGTGGACGTATCTACCTGCTTCAAAGTCAGCGTGCGACTCACGATATGTCGCCGTATTGGCGCAAGAATATACATACACGGATGAAAACACAAAAGACACGATCATATGAGTAATCGTCACATGAAACGTGAAGTATTATTTGATCGAGAGTCACTGAGCTGGAAAATGATCCCAGAAAAAGGCATTGATAGAGGCATTGATAGGAAGAAAAACAGTCTTCGAAACTTATTGATAAATTATATACAATGGGATAAAATGAAAATAATTAATTATTAATTGAAATTAAAAATCAAAGACTTATAATTTTAAAATTTTAATTTAGGGCGGTTTAAAAAAAATATATTCTGTCTAAAAAATGCAATGGGATTATAAATAGTCTTTCTTTTACACAGATATAATTATGCTACACAAATGAATATACACACACAAATACATATATCGTGTGATCTTTGATACCATTAATTTGTATAAAGATACACATGAAATTTCTAGGTGATTTAATGTAATAAATTATTGTAGCATTTTTGCAGTGTTAATTTATTTAAAATGTTATTTTTCAAGGTTAAATTTTTAGTAAGATAGAGCGAAGAAATTCTTGGCAATTTCTGACAAAACGTTTCGTTTCGCTGGTTTCCTTGGAGTTTGTACGCTTCACTTCTTTGTCGGTAGGACTAAAGGGAATTCCTTCGCGCGGGATCTCGCACTGCTCTTTGATATCACGATATTGAATGTTGGAACATTCATAACAGGTGCGTCCGTCCGTAACTTTGTATTCCGCTGATTTGTGTGTGCGTTTGAGGTTTCAAATGGAAACATCCCGTTCTGCATTTCTTAAGAATATAATAAAACGCGGTAGTATATATTTTATTATTAATATAAGTTACTTAATTTTATTTATTGACTTTTGCATAAACTTTAGGGTAACATTTCGCGAAGAAATCGCAACTTATATTAATAATAAAATATATAATTTAAACACGAATCGTTATATTTAATAAAATAAGATAAGACAAAGTAAAATAAAGATAAGAGAGTAACGCGTCGATAAAATACTACGAATAATTAAATTAATATCATAAAATTTTCTGAATAGGAATTAAATTTCATTCAAAATCATAAATCTTCTCCGATCATTTTATTAATAATTGGAACTTCTCGAGAAAAGTGATAATCCAATATGATCAGTATGATCCTTATAACATCGTTAATCCCTCATGAAAGTCCTGAAAGGTCAGCGTATAATCTTCATGGGAGAATGTTCTGATTCAATACGTCCTACGATATCACGAATGCCGAGCATAATATGCCATAAGTGTCACCGGCTGGGACGATTTATGCGAACCGCATATATACGCGTTTTCACCGACGCACATGCGAAGCCGATATGACACAGAGAAAATGGCGAGGGGACGCTTAGTAAATGGTGTGTCGAATAACCCGAACAATATTGCTCGATGTTTGCCATATTACCCTAAAGTCACCCTCTGGTATTTGCAGTAAGAGAGCCACATGATAATTGCCTAATTTCGAAGTGGATGTTTAATGGTGAATCATAACCGCATCGATTTTAATCGATTTTAATTACTTAACACGTAGAAAATTTATTGAAAATTTTGAAAAAATTTTAAAAGCTGCTTGTTCGATTTACGAAGTTTCAGATAATGATTGTATTTAAGAATTAGAATTCTTAATATAATCAAACAATAAATCAAAAGCAGACCGTTTTAAAAATATTTACATAGACTTGTATGCATAATAATTTTTTCTACTTGTCAAAATAAGAAAAATATAACATGTGTTTTGAACTCAAAAATGATTAAGCAGATGCTTTGCTTTTATAAATACTCGTTTTTGTCTAAGAATGACCTGGTGATTATTCCGACATGTACAATATTGCGTCCGACGCACGTCAGTGATCCCGGAGAGATTTGGAGAGGTTTAATTTGTAATTAATAGTCGCTCATCGATGCATACGAGTTTGCGAGGGGCGCCGGCCGACCAGGGTTACAACGAGTTCAAGTATATTGGATTCCAGAGACGGCGAGGGGTCTGACCCTTCCGCCCCCATTGATAAGGGTCATCACAATATTCGCCCCGTGTGCGCACATCTCCCGCCGGTGAAGGGATAGCAAGGGTCGACTCCTCACTTTTTGCAGAGCGAGGGTGTTCGATTTAATTTAATTTCGATGCCCTTGTTTCTGTACGTCGAGCGCATTCTTCACGCGGTGAGAAAAGTGATCGCTTTCGTTTTATAGTGTAACGAGAGACATAAAGAATTCAAAGAACAAGAAGATAACGATTGAAGTTGATAAATCAAGATTCCTAAAAATTTTTTAATTTTATTTGAAGATTTTTTAATTATAAAAATTTAACATCTTTTATTTCAAAGCGTAAAGCTAATATCCGGCAATTAAAGAATTCATCTCTATAAAATCTAGAAATCTAGATAAAGAAAAAAATGCAACGGTGTCGATCTATTTTCAAAATCTTAAACCAAGAAATTAAAAAGGATCTGCGCCAAAGAGGCACCATGAATCTCTCGCGTTCGCCAATGCGGCGACCTGTCTGGTTCGCTTCATTCGTAGCAAAGCAGAGTTTGAGAGATCGATAGAACCCCAGCAACTGCTCGACCACTCCCTCCGTTCGCAGGCTGACCAATCGAGGATGGTCATCCCCGGCTCTGGCCTGAGTCTGGTCTCTCTTTTCCCTTCTTCTCTTGCAACGGTGAATTACGTGACGTCATTGTACGACGCCATTTTCGAGGCGCGTGCCAGAAAGCGTACGAATGATCGGAGCACCCCGACGGATTACGTCGCGCGAGAATGTTCTATAAGGAATGTCATTCGAGAAAAGAACGCGAAAAGAAACTTATTATTCTTAAATCTTAAATTGGGCCTCACACAAATTTTCTCGATTCTAGATTTTCATGTAGAGAGAGAGAGTTTCTCTCCGATTCTAAATTTCTTATATTTTGCATTAAAAATCCTAATTTCTTATTTTATATTTTGTTATCTTTCTTTTCAATAAAAACAATTTAGATTAATCGATTTTCCTAAATTAATAGAAGACTGTTTCCGGATTATACGGTTCCTGATTCGTTAAATGCTAAATCCATAATTCTTTGAACTTGCATACCTTGGAACCTTAGTTGCTGGATTAAAGCAATGGGTTAAACACTGCTGCAATGGTTTAAAGCACAGCATCTTTAGATCCTGCTTCGGGTTCGCTGCATTCCGAACACAGTTCATTTATCAGAACAGTAAGAATGTTGAGCGTGTTTATCTAAAACCAGACTACACAGATTAGAATCGTACCTGTGTCTGAATTGAAACAAATAATTCATTTTATCGTACATTTTGAAATCAATATATTTTAAAATACAGTGAACACTCTTTATGTATTAAATATAATATATTTTAGGAAAGTTGCGCTAATTTATTTAAAATCCAACTGTAAGATCAAAGTTGTGTACACATGACAGAACAAATAATTCACCGCCTCATATCGAATTTGTCAATCTCTACTTTCTGAAAGTAAATTAATGGTAACTTCATATAGAAAGTGTTTCAACATACAGTTATTTTAGTTGCATGTTATTTGTTCATGTTCTCCAACTGTATTCTAAATTCCATAGAGAAATGCAATGTAATGCTCAGATTCCTTTAAATTTATTTAGATTTAATTTGCAAAAGATAATCATCAAAATTAATCATTTAAACTAAAGGGATATGTGTTGAATAATAGCTTAATTATAATTAACTTTATCGAGGAAGAAAATTATTAATAATAAAGATTAAATTTTTAAATCTTGAATAAATCGATGTGATTTATTTTAATAAAATTTTCAAAACTAAACTTGAGTTATTCTCACATCAAATGATTCGAATAATTCACTCCCATCATTCGAGAATGTCGAACTGTCTAATATTGAAGCTAACATGACGACGTCTCACGAGACGAACAACAGCGGCAGGCTGCGAAATAAAAGTAGCATGACAGACGTCTCGCCATGTTAAGACGCGGACGCATCATCCGGTAATTGCGATTTATTTCTCTTAATCGTCGCGTAAACGGTAGCCGATTTATGCGATTCGAGTTAATTTCGCGCAATTATATAATTACCGAGGCCGGCGACCATCATGCGGGCAACAAACCTAATCGGTTTGAATCGAGCAAAGCGCACATTTAATGGCAGCATTTAAATTTAAAGGCATTTTGACGACTTTACGTACACTTTGCAATTCACTCCCGTTTTACCCTCTATTATCTTTCGCGAAACTCTTCGCGAATCCTTCGAGGAGACGTGAGTTTCTATTATGTTTTTAACAGTTGTAAACCAAAATGTGTTTTTACAAATTGATAATGATTAAAGGCTTTTCTTTATAAAATTCCATACTATGTACATTTTTTGAATTTGTTTATATATTAATTTAAAAAAATGACAATTAGAGAATTTAATTTATAATGTATTTAGTTACGTTACTAAAAGAAAATTTAATTCAGAGATTTTTGTTATATAATAAAACTATTTTCCTTTATACAAAGTATTTCTGCTGCTTTTCTTCTAAATTCTCGCTTATGTATATATTTTTTTTTATCATAAAAAACATTATATTTATGACTTTTAGTTTTATCCCATTAGATTTTCCATCGCTCGAATGAGAGGGTCTAGTAAGAGAGATGGTAGAAGGTTGGGATTCATTTTGCGGCGCGATGCTTGGTCTCGGCGTATAGCAAAGTGAGGGTACAAAATCGATACTAGACCTCCTCTCCTTACTTGGGATGGATGTCACTGTTTCCGTGCTTGGCAGCCATGCCTTTCTAAGGAGAAATTCAGATAGTCTTAGAACTTGATAATCGCGTTGAAATGATATAGCTTTTAGAGGATCTGAGAATTTTTGCAAAAATAGAAATTACTTTCAGATTTCGTCATGCAATAAAAATCCAAACAATATAAAATTAAATCAAGAATTGGAAAATTCACAATTCTAGAAAGATTATGTATTACAGAATGTGCAGAAACTATACAGAAAGAATTTAAAAGAATTAAAGTAAAAAATCTGAGAAAAAATCTGAGAATTATAATCTTAATTGAAAGCACAAGAAGTCGAAGAAAGAGGGCTAGAATAAAGTCATGAAAATTCCAACATATGTTGACGTATGACAGAATTCGAAATTCGAAATTGTATAGTCATATCAAGATGAAAGAAAGGTATATAATTGAGAAGAATGGTTTCCCCATAACAATGTGGTTTTTCACAACTGCATCTGCATCCCATATGTGAGCAATTTGAATTTGTTATTTTTACCAAAGAATAATTATTCGACAGAACAAAAAAATTAAATAATTATTTCTCTCCAAGTTATGCAGGAATCACAATATTATCGATTTGTTCTTTTCAGAACATATTTAGCATATCTGACTATAGGAAGAGACGAAATATTTTAATAATATATTAGATTTGTGTGTGTGTATGTTTCGACTATACGACTACATCGGCGATTTTTCCTCGCAAAAAATTAGATCGGCGATGAAGAGAAATGCCATTTTTCTATGCCGCATAATTTGACGCTATTTTTCAGCCTCGCATAATTCACCGACAGAGGAGCGGTGCGTTCAAGGAACGAGGATGCGAGCGGCAAGATCCTGGCGGCAATAGGAGCAAGATGTTTTGCAGACGAATCCGCGGCTTTTTGTCCTGCGGACGATTTTGGTGGGTGAACAGCGAGTCGAACGAGGACGCCGTATGGATCGCGGCTCCCATTAAGCCCTTATTAATTGCAAGCATCTAAAGGACCGACCAATCTTTCTTGCGCTACCTGCGTACCATCCGTTAGCCGAGTAAAGCTCGTCCTGCTGTCGTTCGACACAATCAGGACATGGTAGGATGCTTTGATGTACCTTCGATATGCCGACGATTCGTACGCGAGTATATCAGGTAAAATAATGAGGATTTATGATAAATTAGGAATCGCGTAATTTTCTCTAAGAATGAGTACTTAATTTGAAATTTTTCCTTTAATAATTTAATAATTTAATAATTTACTTATTAAATATTTCATTGCTTCAAATAATCGCGGTACTAAATTAAAAATTGTGCGAATAATAATAATATCTTTTTGTTCGGTTAAATTAAGATCACACTATGTCAAGATTTCGTTTACCAAGTTTAATCGGTAGCTCGACATGGAGCTAATTTTTTTTACCTTCCGCTAAAATTAATATTAAGAATTTGCGAAACTCCATTTTAATCAAATTATGTGCTTTTCGAATATTCTGTTCTTTACTGTGCTGAAAGTAAACGTGAAGATTTCGCAATTTTTCGCCAATGATGCAAGATTGCCACTTATTTAAGTAGGCAATTACTTTTAGACGAGTTGTAAATAGATATGCTCTTGAAACGAAGCGTTACTCTCGGAATCCATTCGCCGTTTGGTGAAACCAAAAGTCTACTTACTTACCGGAGAGGGGTGCGTAGTGGCCGTGAGGATAGGGCGGCGCCGAGGAAGCGTCGACGAGGGACTGCGACGGCGTCGTCGACGTCCACTCCTTGTAGGATGCTGCGGCGTGCGCGTGATGCGCCGCATGGTGAGATGTATGATGACCGAGGCCGCGTGCACCACCAAGCAGAAGGCCACCGTAACTCGCTGCTGCCGCCATATTGTGGTGGTGGTACTCGTGCACAGCTCTAAAAACAGAAAAAAAGAAAAAAAAATGCGAAAAAATTCGCGACCCGAGTTGCGAAATGAGAATCGGATAGTGTATTTGCAATAGCGTAAGGAAAAAGTGCTCCGAAATAGAGCACGTATAAATTTTCGGGTCAGAGATGATTAAAATTAACCACTAATGATGCGTAGCGCGTTTTGGCGTACGCTGATAGAGATGCGTTGCAAAGTGATGCAAAAATAGTATCGCGAGCCTCAGCATGCCAATATGGTTGCCTTAATTACAGCACTAGTATTTAAATGGCAATGAGATATAAATATACGCCATCAAATGCAAATCTTATTCCAAGATGATTAAAGTAGCAAAGCTGTATAGAAAAAATGTGTAGAATAAAAAAGATTAATGTAATATTTTGAATAAAAGATACCCTAAAGAGGTGAGATAAAAGGTAGAGAAAAAGAGAGAAAAAAAATGCGGCGAAGAAGAAGGATAGCGATGCATTTTAAGAAAAAAAAGAAAGAGTACGAGCATGTGAAAAATACTGAAAACCGTCGGGAGCAGCAGGTAACGCCGAGATCTTTAATACTGATCCGACCATGGCCACTCGTATAAATTACGAGTCTCTGTCACCGTCGCCGTAGAAAGAGGACGGAAGATATTGGCGACTCCTTTCTTCCCTCTCATTCAATTTTTCCCTCTTCGCGCTCCTCTTTTCCATATGTAAGTTTCTCTCTTTCGGGATTTTATCGTATTTTAAAAATATCGACGAGCATTCGCTTCTTAATCACGTGTAATACATATATACCTACTAATTGTAAGTGTGATTGGCGGATATTGAACTTGATTCTATTAACGCAAAGATTGCATTCAACGTTATCAGCGTTATTTCAGGATGAAAATATAAGCTATGAAAAACCGCACAAATCATGAAAAAAGAAAAGGAAATAATGACTTATCAAATAATTAATCCGACTGAAGATTATATTCAGAAAATGTATATGACTCATTTCGGTAATTAACGCTCGGGCTGCATTTAATGATGAGCTCGTTAGAAAAATCTTCGGTATGTGATCCCGGTTTTACGTTTTTATGGTGTGGTTAGATACTGGAGTCACACGCCATTAGTCGATCCGCGCGTTTAAGAATCAATGAGACGTCACGGAATACGGCGCCGATTCACGCAACGTTGTAAAGAATGCTTATTAATGGATGGGAAAAAATCCTATCTATGTAAAACGAAGAAGAGATATGGAAAGATCAAGAGAGAAAGAGAGAGAAAAAATAAAGAAAAGCGACAATAATCGGTAACTGACCTGTGGTGATACTGCGGGTAATGCCACGGATCCGTCGGGTACTCGTAGACATCACCGGGATGCTGACTATTCCAAAAAGAAGGGGGGAAATTCCTCATGGACATGGGAGAGATATTTTCTGCAATAAAAAAAGAAAACAGTTTCAGCGATGTGCGCTTTTAATGGACTGCGAGAAAACGCATGCCTACGAAAAATCTTCAAGAAAGAAAGAAAGCAAGAGAAAGAAAGAGAGAGAAATCTCTCGTCTCTTTTTATTTTCCTGGTGGAGATTCTGGGTCTTGAGAAAATAAGAAAAAAAATAATTAAAAAGTCTTATCGATTGTTTCCGTAATTTTAATCATTCCCGAACGCTTTGGCACCTTTTCGTCGGAATCTGATTGAGGAAAACAATTATATTACTCGCAGCTATACAAATATCGCACCGTTATTATTTTTCGTTTAGAAGTCGACCGTATATTGTTAAGGGAAATGGTGTTTGGAGCGCAGGCAGCGTCATAAATACCGGTAACAAACCGATGATCCTTGAGTGATGAATTCTACCGATAACTCGTGTTTCTCCCCGGGGGAAAGGACGATCTTCTCCCGGAAAACGGGTTCTCAAGCAGTCGCGCTTCCACCAGAAACCACTCGTCCTAACCAGCGGAAATAAATAACGCAGCTGGCCGGCTAAATCATCGTAGTTTGTAACGACGGAGTAAATTAGCAGCCGGTATGCCTCCCGTAGCAGATAATCGAAGTGACTTAGCCGGAGATGAAATCGCGCGCGCGGGGAGGGAATTGGAGGGTATAAATCGTGGACCGTGCGGTCGACCTCGCGTTGGTCCACGCAACCTTCGGGCGTGCGTTTCGATTGGCCGGGGGGGATGGATGAAAAAAAAGAGGGAGAAAAAAAATAAAGAAAAGAAGAGGAATTCAACGTGAGCGAGGACCGCGCGAGAGGATTGCGGGAGGATACACGACAAGCTTCTGGCTTCAGAGTGGCCGCTTGTAAAACAACCGAGCGGTACCCTTCTGCCTTCCGCCGATTCGATCCCGTGGGATTCTGCTTGCCCGTTTAGCGGGGTCCTTTAAAATCCGTGGGAACGACGCGGAATATTTTAATAAAGATTTCCAACAATCGCGATTGAATTATTATATTGTCATAATAGTATTATTAATCATATATAGAACAATGATTAATGAGCGATATGTAATATATATATATATATATATATATATATATATATATGTATATATGTACATATTTAATATATATATGTAATATAGGTTAACATATATTTAATTTAAATTTAATAATTTGAGTTTTGGCTCAAATGATTAAAAATTGACATGACTCACCAGATTCCGCGGTTTTTAAATTAATAACAGTATGCCGTTATGTATCTGTCATGTCGGTTTAAGATGATGAAATGTATAAGCATGTTCTCGATTGTTGAGACATAAACATATGTAGATGCAACCGAGAACAAAGTTGACTCAGTTGACTTTGTTATCATCGAGGCTTATACATTCCAACATCTAATTTTAAATTGGTATGACAGATACACAACTATTATTAATTTAAAAAACGCGGAATCTGGTGAGTCATGCTATAACTATTAATTTAAACAAAAAAACTAATTCACGTATAATGTATCTCGATATTTATTTTTACGTGATTTGTTAAATCTGCTGTGACTTTGCACAGCAAAATTATAATATATTTGATGGACTGTTGGAAGCAGCGCACTTGCTAGATCTCCGCGGGATGCAATTTAGCGTCACCTGCGCGTCGAGAAATAACTTTATAATATAATGCGTCATAATTCGTAATATTTATTAACATCGCGCTGAGGAAGGATCCGAAACGTTCGCTTTTTATTACTATAATTTTAATTTTGAAATAAACTAATAATAAAAAAGAAAGAAATGTTGTTTCCTCTCTGCGCTCCAACTACCGCGCTGTGGCTCTTACGTGCCAATTTCGATTTAATTTTTGTATTTAATTTAATATTAGCCAAAGCTTTTTCCTGAAAATTAATTAAAGAGATTAATTAAGAAATTAAAGAGTTATAAAGTGCCAACAGAGAAATGAACTTAACAGAATTGAATACAGAGATTTCAGGAATTAATCGCAAAATTAAATTATCATATATACTTAATTTACTTTCAAAGAGTAATTAAACGACAATTAAAAAATTCCATGTTGTCATCACAGTATGATACTTCAATCCTCGAGAGACAAGAATATAGCTGAGAATCTCGTGGGACCGATTGCGACCCCTCTCTCCTTTCCCGTCTAGTATCTACCTCAGTCTCGGTTCGCCGACTGTCCTTTATTTATTAACGCAATTAAAGAAACAGAGTGTCGACCGTCTGCGGCCGGCTTTATTCTTTGCCGATGCCGCGACCGAAGAGAGAAAAGGTATCGTTCTATGTAAAGGGGAGCGAAAGGGAGAATTGGGTAGAAAGGGTTGTCGATGCTTGGTTCGCCAATAAGTACCCGTGTGTTTCTTAGAACTTTAGAAAACGCCGACGTTTTAATCGACGGCTTGCGAATCTCGATATCGCTCTTGCAGTCGCATTTTCACGAAATTAATCTCTTACATCGCACGCAACGATAATATTCGAAAAAAGACACTAATACACATATATATAATATATTAAATATGAAATGTTTTACACACACATTTGAATTTATTTATAGTAATTATAAATTATTTATTAATTTATTTATTATAAATTAATTATAAATTATTTATTAATTTACTTATTAATTATTAATTATAAATTATATTAACTCTCTTTTATTCTTTCATCCATATACAATCCTGAAAATAACTATCTTTTTTTATAGAACAGTTTTTGTTTACTTCAAACCGGAACCCAGCCATATTTTTTCAAGCCAATTATTCGAATACCTTTTTAATTCCAAGAGTAAACCTTTCTCCCTCCAACTATCCTATCCTCTTTCTCTTTGTTTTGGCAGTACGCGCGTTTAAGCTTAAAGCTGCTTCAGTCCTTGTACGTACGTTACCCGGCATTCCGCGGCTAAAACTGTCTCCCGCGATGTCACCCCTCTATCCCTCCTTTTCCCTCACAATGTCTTTCCTCAGCCCTCCACCACCATCCCTCTTTTCCCAACGCAGAAGCTCTTAATTTACCTTTCGTACGAACACGGTCGCGGGAAGTTAACGCGCAGCAGAAGAGAGAGAGGCTGAAGGGCGGAGGAAAAGAGAGGAAGGGAGGGAGGGCAGGGAAGTGGTGAGGCGTAACAATTAGGTCGTGTTGTCTTGAATTCTAAGCAGGCTACTGAACTGATCCTCGGCACCTCGTAGTCGGGATAAATGCGGCCTTAAACGACACCGATATAGACGAGCTTGCCGATCGCTTGCCAAACCCGCTCGCGTGCTGACAATCCTCCCTCTTATCCCACCCCGCCTCCCATCCTATCTTCTGCGGTCGGGATGTTCCCTCTGCTCTTTTCTTCCCACTCCTGCCCGCGTTTTAAGCTCGGCGCGAGTACGACAGGCGAGTTACAATTGTCACGAGGCTTGTTAGCCTTGTCGCCGGCTAATGGCGTACTTTATTACCCGCCTCAGAAACGTTTCTCGATGTTGCTCGATTTCATCGAGATCGAAAAGATGAATTCTGATGAACGAAAGTGCAAACTTTAATCTTTTTGGAGCCCTCAAAGTAGCCGTAAGTTTATAATACATGTATATAAAAGTATAGATGTATTTTTTAAATAAGTTATTCGTTTTCTTCAATACAAAAATGAATATTTAATTGTATCTAGATACATGTATTTACTCACCCTTTAATTTGTCGTGAGCGAGGGCTCTCTGAAAGTGTTCCTCGACTTCCGACGCCGCGTCGCCTCGATAATGCGTAAACACTACGCAATTTGCATTAACGTATTGCGCTGCCCTCTCGCCGTCTTCGGAGTCCTCAGTGGCGGTACCAGCACCTACGCCTGAATTAGCCGATTAAAATGCATATTAAATAGATATTAAAGTAACAAGTACACACATCAAACTAAGAACGATTTCAATTAATCATCCGTCTTACCGTCTGTCGACCTGTCATCGTCTAGTGTTCGCGAGGGTTGCGAGGTGGTGGTTGCGAGGGGTGGTCGCGGTTGCGGCGTTGGCCTTGGGGATGCGGGACTTGGCGCGGACCCTACGGAACCCGCGCTGCTCGGCTGACCTTGAGGGACACTTCCGCCGGTGCCGCAAAGCTCGATACCAGCTGCTTCCAACGACCTTTGATGGACATTCAGCTGGAATGAGACGCGATTCATAACATTAATCTCGCGTGCAATATTATTGATCTTTAAAATGTTATTCTTTACTCAGATTTTTTAATGTCTTTTATTCATTTCGATATTATAATCCTGATTATATTTCTTGATTTTATATGTGACGATCATAATAGTTATATAATAGTTATATACATAATAGCCTTATTGTTAGTAAGATTCTAAATTGTCAACGAGAATAATCAATGATTTGCAGCAGAATATAATGCAGTATCACGGTAAATTTTGGCTTTCGAATTAAAGGTATTATTAAATATGATATTTGATGATTGAATATGATTATTAAATATGATTAAATATGATTATATATATATATATATATATATATATATATATATATATATATCTTGATATTATATCTATATATTTTTATATCTTATTAGATTTTTGTACATGTTTTTTTAAACAAATTCTACAATTCTCGTGAATGTAATTGTAAAATTCTATTTGATATAATAAGTTTTTATCGATCCTAATTCTTTCTCTTTCTCTCTATATACTCTATATACTCTATATACTCTATATACTAAGTTTCTTGATTTCAAGTTATAAAATAACATAAATTACCAGTTATCTTTTTAGTCAGATATGATGAAATAAAAATGAAGAATTTGTAAAGAAAAATGTAATTGCTTGTGTAACTCATGCGTGCTGTTTATCGGTTATTAGGTTAATGATATGGCTTAACCGGTTAGCTTAAGACTTGACCAATCATTAATGATAACTATTTAACCGGTTCAATTAGTCGATACAATTTGCACAATCGTTATGACTAGTTAACTGTACTAATAGCAGATCAAAAAGCGAAAAAAATCTACTACAAAAAATTTTGATCGAATTCTGGAATATGAGAAACTAAAGATTGTTTTAAATAATCCGGAATTTTTTAAATCGTTTTAAATGTTTCTTTGAGATTCTTTAAATTCAATTTTAATTTCAAACACTTAGAATTTTAAATCTTCACGTTTATAAGGACTTGAATCGAACTTTTCGAAATTATAATTTTGCAATTTTAAATTTTCGTCGATTTCTTCGATCATTCTGTATCCTCTAGAACGTCAACATCTCGTCATAATCGATCGACGAAATTCTCGAATGGCAAATCGTGCGAGCCAAGGTGAAACGTAATCGCGACGATCGCATTGCTCGCGTGACGCAGTGATCGCGATGATGGGACGACAAGAGAAATATGAGCGTGTAAATACCGGTGCGTTTTAACGGCGATAGCCGGGATTTTCCGCGTGACATCGAGGCCATGCGTTTTCTCGCGCGCTATAAAGAGAATGTCGACGACGGGAACGGCGACGAACGGTGGCCCATTGACTTCCACATTGTCGGCACGCTCACAATTCGACATCGCAGCGGCCTACCGATTCAACTCTTTCGATCGTTGCGTGCATTCTTGAAACGAGCATTATTCTTAAAGATTAGGTGATGGCACATACGTGAAATGCCCTGATTTTTGAAACAGAAATAGACGAAATCTGAAGTCGAGCTTTCCTTGCGTAAGATTAATTTAAAAAATGAGGAATGTTAATGCATTATAAAAATATTTATTATCAGAAACTATAGTTGACGAATTAAAGGATGGAAGAATTAAATAAATTACAACATTTCCTGTCCGCTATAAATTAATTTCGACTGATGGGTATATGAATTTACATTGCTGTTTTACTACTGGTTTTATACGTAGATATATTTTTTAATTAGTTTCCCGATGTTGCTGAGGCAAGAATGCGTATCGATGTCTAACAAATCACTGCGAATTGTGCTTTTCCTGCCCCCTCGTCGGCGGTATGGACGACGAGACGAGCGTTTCGTTCGCCACCCCGCCAATTACGTGCATGCATCAGCGATGCACGGAAATAAGCTGACGCTGATGTATGTGCCGGTCGGCGGAAGGGTGTGCGGGACGAGGGTGAAGGAAGCGATGAAGAAGAGGAAAAAGACGAACGACTACGCCTCCGAAAGAGAAAGATGTTATCGTTATCTACTCCAATAAACTCGGACTCGACGCGCTTCATGGTGCAGTATATCACCGTCCTGATTCACAAAGTGATGACGAACGATGACCCGGAGTAGGCGTCGTCGAATGAAACTATATTCGCTTGTCATCCGCGGCCTTTGCGACTGCTGATTGGTAGGCGGTTCGCGATGAAAGGCGGAGTAGCTTTATAAACTCGGCACACATAACTACAAATATTGTCGGACACTCGCGTGATTCGTTTACGGCGAACGCGTATTCCCGACGATTACATTAGAAATAACGAGCATTATATGGTACAGCTAAAATAATGTCGCTTGATTTTTAATTAGGATTTGAGGACGATCAATCTAATTATGCACCGTGTTTACTTCGCTGAGCAAAATTATAGCGAAATAAATACATAAAAGAATCTCAAATCGAGGGATTATTATTTTCTGTGAATTTATCGGAAGCTTCAAATATTTTGTTGACGCCCGTTCAATCGATGCCCGTTCAATTGCGAAACTCACGTTCGCGAGGACGAAAGCGCGCGTAGGAGATTAAATCAAGGGGAGCTGCGGGTCTTCCATAGATTACCGTGCCCGGTGGAACATCCAGCGCCGGTCGACCGGACGACAATGTGGTAATTAATTGAAGCAAGACCGTCCCCGACAGCCCCTCTTCCTCTTTTGCTTTTTCTCTCTTCTTCGCCTCGCAGCCAACAGGCAGTTCTAGCCGAAAGAGAAAGAAAGAAAGAGAGAGCTGCTCGCGGCCTTTCAAAGCATTCCAAAGCGCGAGTCCGCCCGTTCCTCTCCACAGCCTCCGCTCGCTTCTTCTTCTTCTTGCACCCTCTCCTTTCCTCCCTCCTTCCCTCCCGCGTTCCCCTTCCTGCCGGTGTCGAGTCATTTCACGAAAGGCCTGAGAGACCGCATCTTTATTTCTTTCCCTTTTGTCTTATAGATCTGAGACCTACGATATGTATCTTAGGATCTTTTAGCTCTCATAGATCGTAGCTCCTGATCCTCATTGGTTTCAAGAGTCCTTGTTTGAAGTTCACTGAACCGAACGTCACTTGATTCTCCTGCTTCTCAACCTGTTAATTTTCACGTTTCACAGATGTTCCATGATTCTCTTCATCGTTCAAGGGTTTAAGGTCGACGTCGTCGTATAAAGCGGCGGAGGGAGGGAAGAAATGTGCAAGCTGATACTATTTATCGTCTCGCGTGGGGTACGACGGGCAGCCGAAGGTGGTAACGAGCAGGTAAACCCTTTAGTCAAACCTGGACCGCGCGTTTGCATTTATATCGCCAACCGGCGATATTATTCACGGCGTGTATCTTTGCGGCGGAGCCGCATTAAGCGGATACCGGCGCGCTTCTTTCTTGCGGCGGAATACCCTTATCAGCGGGTGGCACACCGTTTACTCATTTGTGGACGTCTGGTAGCACTTAGCTGTTATTATGAAGCGAAGTCCCGCGGGAGATAAAGCGAATAGTACACACTGAAACCAAACGATTAGCTGGAATTGCGAGGCGCGCAGGAATAGCGAACGTGGGAAGTAAAGAAGGAATAGGATGTAAAGAGTGCAAAGGACTCTCCCGAGATCTGGGAAAACGAGGGTCAAGAATATTGAAAATAAAATATCGAGTGTTCAGAGATCGTGATTTTAATTGTGAATCATTTAACACGCTGAAGAAACTTGATAAGTACAAAAATCGAGAATAATATCCAGAAACGGTTTTAATAAATGAATAATATAAGATATATAAAATAATAAAATATAAAATAAAATATAATAACATAGAACATATATAAAATATATGTAAAATATTATAAATAAGTCACAATTAGAAGAAATTAAAACAGAAGAGATTGATAACCGAAATGATAACGTAAATTCGCTTGTTGTACTTTGAGGTAGCATCGCGTGCTTATAAGATCCACCGCAGTGGCGATCGATCAAATCAGAAATCAAATCAGGAATTTCAGGCATCTAGCGACATGATGTTGTTTATCTCGAGACGCATTCGCAATCGCGAAGACACCCCGTTGACACCGAAGGAAGACTGTCGAAAATATTGTCGCGAGGAAACGTTACACGCGTTTCTACGTTATCTTCTTGCATGATCGGTCAATGTTTTCGCATTCGTAAGATGCTAATAGAGACGAGCTAGGTACTTCCTAGAGGAATCCTTCGATTGACACGTTTATCGTCTTTGCCAACACAACGTTAACCGATAACTGTCCGCGAGAGTCTGTAAATCGTTCAATTAATTAGCGCGAGGTGCAAGTATGATCGAAATGATGCGTCGTTAAATGCCGATTGGAATCCGGATCTAATTATCGACTTTACGATTATACTATCGGGCGAAATTCATAGGGTCAGTTTATTCGGGTAGCATCAGAATTTCCGCGAGTATGATATTTTCTGTACAAACGATAACGCTTATCGTTGCATTGCTTTCAGTCTGAATTATCATGTCATTTAGTTTAATTGATAATTTTTCCCATTGCATAGGATTTCCCGGTAACGTGAGTTTTGATAGAGTTTTAGATTAAGAAGAATTAAATGCGGTTCAAATACGATAGATAAGATAAAAAAGAAATTTAAAAAGTTAAAAAGAAACGAATAAAATTTTTGATCTGAAATAGAGATTTAATTGTTAAAGAAGCAAAAATCTAATTTCTTACTATTAATTTTTTCTTCTTTCCATTAAGTCTCCTAAATAAATATGCTTTAAGGAATTTTTTGAACTAGTAGAATTATATCGAATCGACATAGTAACGTCTGGTGCGATTCCGCTGTAATTTGTCGACGAAATCGCGGTATCATCCACCTGGCGAAGCCGCTAATGAACTAAATTTAAAAGCGAAGATAGCCTCGATGGCGTGGCTTATCGATAGAAACGATCCCCACACTCGGACTCCTCTCATCTTCATGGAAGATAGGAGAATCGCGTCGATGAATGGCCGTGTCTGGCAAACAAATTGCAAGATACGCCATGGCAGCTTGTTACCGGCTCCCTACTCCGCACCACTCGTCCTTCATCTTCTTCGCATAGGATAATCTTTCTCAGCCATTTTGGATTACTTTCCGATAAAGAAAGAGAGAAGGAGTCAACGATAAGTACAAGAGATCAAAAGGAAGAGAAAATATCTCTGTCATAATTATTTCAGCGGATAATTATTTTTTTGAAAATTATTTCAATTTTGCGACATCAATTCTGAATAATCCTAAATAATTCTGAAAAAGTCCTGAATAATCGCTTTTATGTTTATACTTGGTATCGCACTGATTAAGCTTAAAACGTCAATTGATTTATAAATTCAAGATAATATATAAAAGATAAAAATATATAATAAATAAGATAAAAAAGGATAGAAATCTGAAAATCTAAAAAACATAGAGATACTGAGATGTTGAACTTTAGCCATAAATATTCAAAATTTACAACAAAAGGATAATTAAAATCCTAAAATAGAACATAATGTCACTGTCAATTTCAGGATCAATTTCAGGAGATATCTCAAAATCTAGAAACGCTGAGGAGTCATAGCGAAACGCAGAAGAGCGCGGCAAGTTTCACGGCAACGGTGAGCACAGCTGGGACGTAAACATCACGTTTTTATTAGACAACATGTGCTCAACCGCGAACTTTCAATAAGCTGCCGAGGTACATAGTAATAAGCTGGTAATGGTCCTCGTCGGCGAGAGTATAACCCACGGACGCTGCGGTAGGTAGCCGTCGTTACTGGTCACCATATCGGATCAGGTCTGATAAGAGAGCGTTAAAAGCGCCTCGCATCTCAGAACCTTCTCACCGTTTACGTCTTTTTTTTTTCTTTAATCAGAGATCGACCTCCAATTCGAAGTTCTTCGTTATATTTTTATCTATTCCGCGGCCAGAATTTCGAAACTGAAAGCAATCTTTAGACGGAAGCTTTTAAGCGACATTGTCCGAAAGAAAATAAATCTATCGATTTTAATTATTGAAATTAAATAATATTTAAATTTAATTCCATTAAAATAAAAAAATATATTAATCTTGATTTAATTTATTTTTTCCTTTCTTTTCACTTGTATTTTCAAAGATAGTATGACTAGAAGTGAACAATGGATGCTGAAATACCTTCGAGAAATTACGAGTACATGCGAATAATAAACTGCCGGATACTAAGACGTAACCGATCAGATTTTACGAATAATTCTCGTCGATCGTGTCGGCACTCGCGTTTTTCTGATTCATTATAGCGGCGAATGAGCCGATCCGGAGATCGAGGAACGCGATCCACGGCGGCGCGACTCGATTAATATTGAACGCTCGACGACGACGACGACGGCGCGAGGCTACTGCCAATCGATCGAACTTAACTTTTCTCGCATAACTCGGAAACTTCTTCATCGCATGCTGCGGATCAATCATTTTTTTCCGCGCATCCCATTACCCCCGATGCAAGGATATTGAGGACACTCGCTCGACTCCGTCTCCGATGCAGCGAGGACTCTTATTACGTCGAACAGAAAAACTCCCCGTGTTGATAACTAGTCAGGTGTCTTTCTTTTAAAGTACAATTGGAAGAACATTTTAAGAAATGAAGCATTTAAAAAGAATTGATAGACACGCATGATAAAGGATCTTTATCATTTTTTTTTATTTCTTTCATAATATCGAGAAGAAGCGAGTGTCGAAAATATTCGATATCGATGTCTCGATTCGCCATGAATATCTCTGGATCTCCGCGTGTCTCCGCGCGGAATGCGTGCTCGCCGAGAGCGGGCGCGTGCGTGCGTGCGTGCGGAATAGCGGACGCGAAGCGTAGCGATGCGCGTGTCGCAAAGAATGGCGATCCTAGACTAAAAACAGAACAGCTCCAAGGAATGCAACGCATTGCGGCACACCTTGCTGCCGGCACTTGACAGCGAGTCCAACACTCGCACGGCGACGGACTTACGACTCGATCATCACGTGACGCGTGTGAGATATGGCAAAGTCGCGCCAATAATTGTCGCATATCCCGACAATTCCAACGACTTCCTTGTCGACCAGCACAACATGTTACTTTCCGCCAGATTACAGCGACAAACATTGAGGTGATAATAACTCTCACCATCATTTCATATAAAAATTTTATTAATAATTTGATAAAAACATTTCTACATAATTTATAGTGAAATTTATGAAATATTTAAAATAATGGAAGGTGCGTCTATTATATTATAATATAATAACAATGTTTTACACTCTTTTCATTTCTTTTTATAAAAATAATTCCACTAGAATTTCTTGCCATGCGATTCATATTTGTATCTATCATGTGCGAGTCGCGTGTTCTTTTCCATTTGCCGTTTCAGGTACGTTCCATATGTGATACGTCAGTGTTCGGCAATGTGGAGGCAACTAGGTTGAGAAATCTGTGCCGGGTAATAGTGTCCGGTTGCCGATCATAAATAACAACAGGTCGCGTGGCTTCCGCGATTCTGCGAAGCATCGGCGACGATTTCGCTGCATAAAAGCGCGCGACGCGTAGCGATTAATTTTCGCGGACACAAATCACGCTCTCAAGGATTCCTCATCTGATCGATCGATCGACCGGATCAATGCGGTAAAACGAAAGTAAGCGGACATAGATGCCGACAATAAGAATTCTTCGAGCTGTTTGCACGAATGTTGCATGATGATTTGCGATTTTATTGTTCACGTCATCATTATCATCATGTTTTAATAATTATGATGTTTACCAAACGATTATTCTAGCGAAAATTATAATGGAACAATTTGCAATTATGACTTGAAATTTTTTTTTTTTTTTTTTTTTTTTTTTTTTTTTTTTTTATTATTTTGTATTTTATATTTTAATTATATTAGTTATTTTTTTAATTTTGTAAAGACTTATTCATTATTAAATTAATTAATATTAAAAGTCGCGCAAAATGCGATTTGTATCCGTCTCAACTTTGAAAATTTTATCTGAAGTATTTCTCGCAAAAATGTTTCAAAGTCGACGCCTATGCTCCTGAAGGGAAAGAAAAAAGGCAAAAGGCGTCTCAATGGCGACACGAGCCCGCTCCGTGGAAACTGGCTCTCGAGGAAAACCTCATTCAATTCAATTCTAATGCCGCAGCAAACAGAATCGAGTACTCGATCTCGAGATCGCGGCCTGGAAGCTATTGCGCTCGGCATTTACGGTCGTTCCGAATGATGAGAGTATTCTCACTACGTGAAGATTGACGGGGAATTGTGATTTTTAAAAGGAATCCGGAAGCTAGATTCCTGGAGAAGTTACATCTTCAGGTTCACCTTCGTAGATAAAATTCGCGGAATATGTATAAAATATGCAAAACGAATGCAAACTTCAAGGAATCTAAAGATCAAAGGGGAATATTGTGAATTTTGGGGGTGAAATAGTTTTCGTAAAATACTTGTAATAAACGTTAAGGCATCTGTAATGTTTATTGTAGTATCGTAATCGTTCCAGATAGCTCGCGTCGAATCTGGCATTCGGGAAATGCACGATCGCACGATCTTCCTTAGAGTCGGCGGCGCGTCTCATCGCCGTTATTAACATTAACGTACATTCATTACATCCACCGCACGCCGACAGGCAACATTGAAGCTCGTCGACGTATTAGCGAATCTTGCGGAATGCTTATGATTTTACGAGCCTCTTTAATATGCGTTTAGCTTCCGCCGGTAGCTCGGGCTCGCGATGCCTCCGGCTTTCTTCTCTCTCCTCGCGGCCATATCCTGCGACTGCCGCCTCCTCGGCATGCCTCCGTACGACATTTTCTGTTTAACCTTTGAACCCCCTCGAGCCCGGGGCGGCAAGTGCATTCCAGTCAGAGGCGACGATCGTTCAAAAATCCAATCCACGAGCTAGGAAACATCTATATCGAATTCACGGCGAAAAATAGAGCGGTCCAATCGTAGCAGTTATCTGGGCATAGTCATAATAATTTGCGATAAAAATTTTTTTTCGTAGAAAATTATATATTTTTGAAATTATTTTTTTTTTTAATTTTTCGTAGATTTTATTTTGACGTATTTTTTAAATCATTGAATCTCAAAATACTCAATTTTAGAGAGGCAAATATTTGAAGATTCATTTTCTTCAAGGATCGAAAAAATTTAGACAACTAAAAACTTTTATATTTGCCTCGATAAAATTCGAGATATTGAAGCTAAGTAGAAGACGCTCTGTCGTCTCGTTTTCAGCAGTACATAGGCGATCATGGTTCACCATAGAGGAATTATGGACGAAATGCCGAGACTTTTCGCGGATCATTTTTCACTCCCATAATCGCTCGTCTCATCTCGGCACTCGTGACATTGCACTAGCTGACAGTGACGAATCGACAGTCCTCGAGTCAATCCTTGAGTCATCGGGCAGCGCCAGTGTCTTTCTGTCCGTCGCGTCTCGTGACTAATGAAAATGTCCTGCTAGATCGGAAATGAGAAATAAGAGGAATCATTTTCATATTGTCTTTCGCGCGATTGCATAGCGATTAACGATTAGTGATACATTGAGATAAGTTTGTGCCGGTTTAAAATAGACAAGAAACAAAACAATATACGATATGTATGGATATTATCTTGGATTCCTATATTTTTAAATCTGATAATGATAACAAAAATGTTTATTTATTAACAATCAAATAATCAATAAATGTGTCGATATTTTTAATTATCTTAATTATTATATCTTTTAGACCAAAATTTATAAAATAATGTTAAAATACAATAAAAAATATAAAATAAATGATTACAATTAACATTCATATCGTAAAATGATTTCCGCTATCTCTTCGGGGTAAATAATTTCGTTAAAAATGCAAGTCGCGGCTGCCATTCTTGTTGGAATGCGCAGACGCGACACGGTAATTGTGAGACACACGATATAATTGCACATTATAATTGTCCCTTTGTTTCTTCAATTACATGTCTAGACTGACGGTTGGCATGTACGTGGTTAAAGAGAAAAGAAAGGGAATGAAACGCTTCGTTGGGAAGAAGAAAAAGCAAGGCGGCTGCTAAAAATTTATCTTGGCTAAACATTTTTATAAATTTATCTTTCTCTTTTTTTGCACAAAAATATTTGCGTTAAAAAATAAAGAAATAGAGAAAATATTGCCTAATGTGAAACAAAAACCTATGAGTTTCAAGCTGATTTTCTTAATTGCTCGAATTCTGCGTGCAATTATAGTAATTTCACTTTCTTATATTATTATTGATTATTTTATCTTGTAAAATATTATTAAAAGATCGATTAAAATATTTTTAAAAAAATTGACATCTACAATAAATGAATAAATTATTTTTATTGAAATAAATCAAATTTGATTGTTATTTTAACAATCATCGACATTTGTTAATAATTTTGCAGCTTTGCGTTTGAAGCTCGATTTCGCGGATTTTTTGGAATATTGGTTCTTTCGATTCATAACTTGTTGAGTTTTAGAATTCTTGGATCATCGTATCCTAACGCGCACGATAATTCAATGAGTTAATCTCCGATCAATTAACAGTGAATTCTGTGTTTGCGCAGGTACTTAGGTAAGAATTTCAATTAGTGGACGAGAGAGATGGAGAGGAAGGGACACGATCGAAGACTAAGACAATTAACGGAGAGTTCGCCGAACACAGGGTCGCACTTCCGGGTTTTAACGAATCAACTGCAGATTAATCGAATTCGCGATTTTCTTTATACGCGAACTTTCTTCCTCTCGATTGAGTGTCAAACGAGTAGCCGCATTAACACATAATTGAACCATCATTGATTCCTCTAACTAAGCATTCATCGAGATATGCCGAGAGTTCATACGTGAGTATGTATCTTAATTTTTTTGTATCAATTTGAGAAATTTTCATGTCTCAAATTTAAATATTTTTCAACGCAATAAATATTCTCTTTGCCTTTAATTTTTCTTACACTAGAACATAGGAAAGAAATTAAAATATTTTAATATAAATAAATAAATATTTTAATATAAATAATTTATTTCCCAGGAAAATATTGCATCGTTGATAACTGATATGGTTGATAGAATTGTATCGCTGTAGCAATATTTTTTTATTATAGGCTTCTTACTAAATGATAAGTCATTTCGATGAGCGGCAAGAATAAAGAAGATGCAGAGGAAAGTTTTTCGGCGAAAATGGGGAAATTTGCTGGCTGATGAAGCGAGCGGAGGAAAGTTTATGAGCCCCTCCAGATGAGCGGCTAATTTTTAAACAAAGCCTAATTTCCGCAACTTCATAACATAGTCGCGGTCGTTATTACTTGCCGGGATAATAAATGATTATTACGCCATCGCGAAGAAAGGGCAGGATGGAGATGCGAGGGTGAGACGAAGGTGGGTAAAACGCTTTGATGTATTCTCGCTCGGGTGGAGGCAAGCCGAGCGACAAACTCTTCGATATTCGGACGATGAAGAGCACTTTCTCGTCGTGGGGGGAGATCGGGAGGCGCGGATGCTTAGAGCCCTTCCCTCCCCATCCACCCTCTAACAGCTGATTACCCCTTCCGCGATCCTTCGTGGCAAATATTTCGAAGTGTACGTTGTCAGATTGCACTTTCATTGTGCTCCCGCTGTCTTTATAATCTCGATGTTTCCTTGCGTTCTCAAAATACACGGCTCTGTCCCTCCCTCTCAATCTCTTTCTCTCTTTCTCACCCTTTTCCTCGCCGACAGGTCGTCAATGAAATAGCTGCGAGCGGTGCTGCGAGACACGTGAAATTGATGGAAGTATGCGCGCTGCACGCATTCCGCTCGGGTTTGCCATCGAGCGGAGCGGAGCGGATTCGCGCGAGCACCTACGACGACGATTCCCCTGTGCTCTCTGTTCTTTATTAATGAAGGTACATTCCCGGCGAGATTCGCGTCCCTGTTCGCGGCTGGATGCGCGAATCGCGCGCGGACGAAGAGACGAGGAATCTCGCGCGCGGAAATCAACTCGTTCGCGGGAATGAATGAAAAACAGATGGGCACGAGCAGAACCGAAAATCCATCTCTCGCTCTCGCCTTTTGATCCTGAACGGGGGCGAGATCAGGCGAGGCCGCCATACGCATTTTAATGTCGACGGCTTTGAATACATCCAATTACGAAGTGTGTTGCGGTCTCGCGAGTTATTCGCGTCAGCCAGAATCTGCATCGATCACGTCGCAGCAAGCCGCTAACAAAAGTCGAACGCCGACCAAGTATTTTGTCAAGAGTCTGACGCGCGCATTCGCGTTTATTTCCTCTTACGTTTTAATACGAATAATTAAAGACAAGGATCCTACGAGCGAAAAATCTTAACTGAATTTTTTTCTTCGATCGAAACAAGATAAAATTAGACAATTAAGATACATTGCATCCAGTTAGGAGAGATTAAGAACTAGGTAATTTATTATCTAAAACGCAACATTTTCTCTGTTTAGGCGGAGGTTGATGCATTCACTTCTCTCACTTAACTTCGAAGGTGAAGGGTCAAAATTTCACGGCGAAGGAGTCGACACTTTATCTTCCTGGGACAAACTGGAGGGAAAGAGATGAGAACCAAAGAGAGAAAGAAAGAGAGAGAGAGGGTGCAGTTTCGGCCTTCGGGCCCCGCGGAGACCCGCTGCGCAAAGATGTACGGATAAGGGGATATAAATGGGCCCTGGCCGCAGTCCGAGGGCAAATATAGACCAGGATAGGACATCAAGAGGAAAGGATTCCCGATGGGCCGAACGGGACCGAATAGCACCGGTATGGAAATGCGATCGGCCTTTAAACGTCGAACCGCGCACAGCTATGTTAATTCCCGCGCGTGTTAGCCAAGGTGTAACTTCTGTTTATCTTCGTATCGGTCTCCGGCCAGATTTAACGAATACGGACAGACCACCTTCAAGAAACGAGAAAATCCGCATCGTTCACGGTAAAATCACATAATTTCTTCTGTATGATAACATCTTATTTCTCTTTGAAGAGAGATGTAAAGTTTCCAGGATATTTAATATATTCTGCGATTGTTCGGCCTCATTACATAAATTTAGATTTCAGCTATAGAACAATCAGAAAATTCTTTAATAGATAATAAAAAATAGTCTATCAAAGATAAGTGTGGACTTTATATACTAATTGATATTTATTTAACTTTTTAATAGAAAAGATTTTAAAATCAACTTTTGCCGAAAAGTAAAAATTGATAACTAACAAAAATATCACAACTATTGTTATCGAAAACTATTTACTAATTGATAATTGATTAATTTTTCTTTAAATCTTCCTTATCTGTTTTAGATATCCTGAAATTATGTGTAAAATATTGCACGAAATTTCGAAATACCTCGGACTCGCGTGTAATGCGTGAAAAATGTGACCTCGTTCGATTCTTGCATCCGGATCTTCACGCGCGTGCTCATTCATTGTTGCAGGCTCGGCGCATCTCGTCTACCGATCAGATCCGACGTGATGGATTCACTTCGCGTGGAATGGAAACGCGAGTGACGGCTACGAGCGGCAACTAAGAACGGAAAACGAATACACGACAATCGTCCTTTTTCTCATGTGTCTCCTCAGTACATGGCCCGCAAAGTATAACTTATGGCAAAAGAAGCGAACTCTCCTTGTAAAACAGATACAGCTAAGAACCGACATTAATGGCCTCATTTGTATGCCACATGGCGAGTACTTTGCGATAATATAAGGTCGTCGAAATACATAATCTCGCAGAGTTGAATTTCACGATAATTATCTTCGAATAATTAATTGTTGTTAATTAATGATAATCGACAATCTCTCTCTTATCGTTACAATCTTGATAATATTTTAAGTTTGAAAACTCAGATCTGAGAACATTAAATTCCATAAATATGATAAATCTGAGCTCTAATTGAGTGAAGAATCTAAAAATCGGATTTATGAAAGCGAAAATCTAAAAGATGTGTAAAAGCAAAAGTCGAGAAACTGGAAATCTCAGCACAAGAAATACTGACGGTCCAAGGAATGCAGTATCCAAAGAATTTATATATATATATATATATATATATATATATATATATATATATATGTAATTCCTCGGAGGTTTATATATTTTATGGAAATATTGACAAATTGCAAAGTGTCTTCGTTCACGTAAGAATTATTATAAAAACAGCATTCTCTTTCTACATCGATGTTTAAAAGTAATATATGCTATAATGCACGTCGGATCGGTAACGGATTTATTAAGAGAACGTAAAAAATGAAAATGCTTCGTGCGTGAAGTAGGCAGCTGCTGCGACTATTTGAAAGGAATTTCGAGATTAGAGGAGATGCCGTTGCGGCCAATGAATCATTCCGGGCACGCGATTTCTGGCATTCAAAGGAGGCGTTAAGTGATTAAACGACCAGTTGTCATCGGTGACATTAACATATTACGTTCTCCGCACGTAGAGTTAATGTCTTGTATCCATCCAAACCGTCACGCGGAAAAGAATTATATATGATGGAGATGACAGTTCTCCAAGAAAGCGTCGACATTATCGTCAACAAAGAGAAAGGGAGGTCTGATCCTGGCCAAAAGCACCGGGAAGCTAGTGCACATTCTTAGGCAATCAGATAAATAACTTTTTAACTAAAGGTGAGATACCCTATAAAAATTTTCGCACGTAATTTAGCTTCTCAAGTAGCCAGAAAAGTTTCTAATCAATAGATAGAAACGCGATACTGAGGCTGTATGAGAAATACTTGTCTTATATAAATTGCAAAGTTGTCGTTCAAATAAATGAATATTATTCGACATCGAAAGTTAATCCACATTCTTAAGCAATCAAATAAATAATTTTTAAGCTAAAGGTGAGATATTCGATGCAATTTTCACATATAATATAGCTTCTCAAGTAGTTAGAATGAAAAGTTTGTAATCAGTAGATAAAAACGCGATAGTCAGACTGTATGAGAAATATTCGTTTTATAAAAATTTCAAAGTTGTCGTTTAAATAAATTTATTATTCGACACCGAAAGTTAATGCACATTCTTAAGCAGTCAGATAAATAATTGTTTAGCTAATGGTGAGATGCAATTTTCATATGTAATTTAGCTTCTCAAGTAGTTAGAATGAAAAATTTGTAATCAGTAGATAAAAACGCGATAGTCAGACTGCATGAGAAATATTTGTTTTATATAAATTTCAAAGTTGTCGTTCAAGTAAATTTATAATTCGACACCATACGAATTTTATGTGTGTGAAATGTGTTATATAATATATTTTTAAATAATATCTCATTATTTTCGCTCTTACAATATTTTAAGTAAACTACTTTATTGCGCAAACCACCGTTCACGTAAAATTTTAACAACGAAAATTTATAAAAAGAATTAATAGCAATTTTTATTTTAAACATGTCAAAATATGCAATTTAAATTCAGGAGTAAACATCGATGAATAAAAAGAAAGCTGCGAATTAAAATTCGGTGCGTCGAGAGTAAGACTTGCAGCAAAACTTGGACTTAATTTAATGGAAAGCACGATGTTGGCGTAAAGTGAGTTAATATAGAGATCCTCCTTCTATGAGGTGCGAACGCTTCTCTCCAGTTTCTCAGGATAATACAGACACCGCATGCTACGATGCATGCAATTAAGAGCACACGCGAGAAGGATCCAAGGAACTTCTAATCATAGAATATCTAGCGAGAATATATGTCTACCTACTGTAAAGAGTCATCCAAAATCATATATATAAAACATCACACTAAAATAATAATATAAACTATTTTATAAAAAAATAAAATAATTAAAAAATGTCTTTCAATAATAAATTTTATGAATTGTTGAATTACTTATGAAAACCTGGACATACATGGTTACCGATCGCAGGTTTATGCGATATTTAGTTTAGAGTTTAACGACATTTGTATCTTTTTGTTTCGTCAATCTTGTTCGTTTATGAGATTAAAGAAGTCTATAAGACACGAGGTGACAGCCCATCTTCCAAAAAGTGATTTATGTCGACATGACTAGTTACTGGCTAACTTATGGTGTTTACCGATTCAATTAGGGATACAACCGGCGGTCCCTTAAAACGGGATACATTTGTTTCGACATTAATTTACGAAAACGACCCGCTGTCATAACAAAACAATAATAGACCTTTGGTCGGTTGGCGTACCGCCAGGTTTTAGTGGTCGCATAAAATGCATTGGAATGTTTGCCCGATACATTGTCCTCAACCGCATCGTATTATAAATTAAATTGTCGAATTATTTTTATCGTAATCATGTTCGTCTTAATCGCGAAGTACAAAATCGCCGCATCTCAAAATAAAAGTTAGTCGAGAAATAATTGTGTAAAATGAATGCTTGATAATCGATAAAATCATTATGCTATTAGCTAACAAAATTCGCACTGTTTTAATGAATTCTCATGTCAAGTAGTTCTTGAAACTTCTTATGTAACAAAATATTAATAAGACATGTACATTGAAAAATGTATTATGTCTTATGAGCATATATTTTCTCTACTAAAACATAAAAATTAGTATTCATAATGTTTAAACGTTATACATTGCAGTCAGCTTATCATCACAGTTACGGATACTCTATTGTTCCTTGCTAGCTTCCTAGCTCTTCTGCTTGAAACCAAACGTTGTTTGTTAGTTTAAGCTGTCGGAGAACTTTGGAGAACGTCATGAAAAACGAACAAAATGTTGACAGACATGCGGCGTTTTTGTAGCTAAGACAATGTCTGAGTATTCTTCCTTCAGCACGACGACGCTGGGACGTCGAACAACGCGTCGTCTCTATATTTACATGCCCCAAAGTCAGTGGCCCGCTCGAGTGATTCATCACGGAAACAGATGCTGGGATCCTAGACCATTCCAATGTTAAATTTTTAGACCGATCCTGAGAGACTCGAGAAAGTTTAAGTTCTTTGATTCTGAATCTTCCGCATCCTGGATTTCTAGGAATGATATTTTGCATTTTTAGTTTCTCTTTCTTTATTTTAGTTCTTGAAATTTAAATCTATTACGTTCCTCTTAGATATCAAATTGAAGCGTTTTTCGAGAATCAAAAGGTTAATAATCTTCGCCCAACGACGAAGCAACGAGAAGAAATGAGAAGCGATTGGACAGAGATATTTTTGCCGGGTTAAACGTTCATCGCTAACGAAAAATCTGCGGCAACACGAGGACGGCAGCTGGTTGGCGATGCGACAAATCATAGCCTACTGGACAGCCTACACGTCGACTGGCGCTCGAGCGTCCCGCGCAAAACCGAGCGAGCACGTGCAAGACGAACATAGCAATGTAACCGGTGGCGGATCTCTAAACTCTCTCTCTTTCTCTCTCCTTCGTTCTCTTTCCGTCTTGCGAATCCTTCGACGGATCGCCCTTAAATTTATGAGGCGCCGTTCTGGTTTTACGCTCATCTACTTAAACAGCCAGAGTGTCTCAGTATTCTCGACGAATTCTCAAACGGGCAAAAAACACATAGTTAGTCTATACAGAGAGTCTAAAACTACTGGTGAACAGGAGACCCTTGGGCGAGCTTGAAAAATATCTTTGAAGAACTTCCCTCAACGAAGACTTGATCGGTTAGAATCGCAAACCTCTCGAGGATAAACGGACTGTATCCGTTGGATCGGTTGTATTCGAATCGCGCGGAGCGATTAATTAGAAATAGCGATATCTAAGCGAGAGATCGAGCTGTGGACGAGCAACATTCGTCGGTATCTCTTTGATACGTCAACTGCCCGACCGGACCAGTTCTCTGCTTGCCGTCCGGTCGAAATAATATCTGGCCCAACACACGTGTCACGTGGTAGTCGACAGCCAGAAAGAGCCGGCGAAATGTCTATCGATGCATTGAACGATTGAGGATAGCTCGATCACTCTCTTGGGCATATCCATATGTAGGATATTTTGACGGAGGACTGGCTCTAACAATGCAGAATCTTATCATTATTCTCATTCTCGTTAACGACAAATGGCCCAAATATTTAAACTCGAGAACGCAAAAGTTGCATATAAGTATAACGCAGTCATCTTCGAAGTTATGTTAGTACTTCTCCAGAGACATTTAACTTTTACTCAGCAAGTATCGGTCCCGAGCTATCGAAGAAAGGAGGATTCTCATATAGATTATCATCTTCTTCAGGAACACGCTGCATATTAGTTTCTCAAACACGACGGGTTAATACAATCACATTCCATTAGTATTCTGTTAACGAAATTGCCTAACTAGAGGAAGAGGAGAAAGAGAGAGGCAGAATGCTGCGAAAGAGAGTCCGCCAGTCCTCGGCGAGAGAAAATAGACAACTCGCCGCGCAGAAAGGCGGCATCGGGAGAAGTAAAAGGAAGAAATCCTGAGGAGAGGGGCGAGAGAATTCCGCGGGGTTAAACAGCCGGTATTTCAATAATGGAGTCTTATCGCCGGCTACCGCAGAAGTCCGAGTCCTCGGCGTCGACGAAGTCGGCAGCTGGTGCATTCGAGCCTCGGTCTCTCGAGTCACGACGCCAGTCACACCGAGTCTCGACGGTGTTTATTAATTTTCGCC